TAGTCCCTTGTCCTGCACTCCCCTGTCCAGGCATCATCTCAGATGGAAGAATACTTAGAGAAAGCTCTGAAATTAACAGAGGCCTCTATCTAGAGTCCTAGAACTGCTGAGTGTGCAGATGTGCTTGTGTGTGTGTGTGTGTGTGTGTGTGTGGTCTGTGTGGGGGTATTTGTGTACACCGGGAATTACTGTGCCCCAGTACTGTGAAGTGAGATGAGATAAACAGTGACTCAGAGGCACAGTATGTAACAGTTATGGTGGTCAGCTCTGGGATGTAGGGGAAGCATGGGTTGGCATGTATGGGAAGCATTACAGGGCTCCATCCTTCAGCTCCAGCTCATGTGAGTACAAGTTTTGGAGTGGTGAATCCTATGTGTGTTTTGGGGCACAGGGCCGAGCCAGGGCATGGTGGATGAGAGCATTTTGTAGGAACCATCGGGAAGGTGGCAGGACTATCCTTTGAAGTGGCCTGCCAGGCAGGTCTAGGAGGTCAGGACCTCCACCCCCAACCCAAGCACAAGGAAGCTCCCTTGTTAGCCTCAGCAAATGTCTCAAGGAAGCTATGTAGAGAGGCAGATTTGGAAGAGTGTAGACAGGCTTGTCTCCAGGTGGCAGGGAGAGTGATTTTCTTCTAGGCTCCATCATGGAAGATGTCAGGAGTGTGGAGGTGGGCCTTTGTAGGCTTTCAGTGCTCATTGAAGCAAGGCTTCCTGTTGGGGAGTGCAAAGCATTTCCCGACTGAACATGGCCTAGCTACCCTGGATACCAGGATTAGAGTGTACTTAGGAAGGAGGGATAGAGAAAGACAGAGATAGAGGTGGAATTGGAGGTAGAGGAGGATAGAGAAATGGTTGGGGGTCAGGGAGCCAGAGGGTAGCTGAGAAATTGAGAATCTGCATGTGGGATGTTGGGTGTTTTCATGTTTGTTAGCGTTTTTCTATGCAGGCTGCTGGGCAGACCCATTCTGTCTATGGACACTTGTTTCTATTCCATGGATCTGGGCCCCTGGAGGGAATTTTGTGTGAGGATGCCTGGAATAGGGGTGGTTGTGTGCTGCTGGAATCCTGGTGTTT